TGAGTCTGGTGTGGATGTTCTTCCATCTCCGGTGAAGCTCAGGTACTCTGGGAAGAGAGAAGTCACACCAACTCCTGATTCAGGACTGGGCCAACAAGCTCATTCCGCTCCCCAGTCCACTTCTGTGGGTCAAGGGTGTGCTTGTGGTCTAACTACCCCCTAGACAAACCTCAGGAGTCCTGCTTGGAGTCCCGTGAGATGGCACCTAAACTACTTCTCTGCATCTTTCCCTCCTCTGGGAGAAGATTTGGCCTTTAGCCTTCCTGTAAAACCCTCATTGGTTCTGTTCAGAAACACCCAATTCCTACATGGAACACTGCCTGGGCTCAGTTTTCAGCTGCTTAAACCCTAATATACTCCATGCCAAGTGTCTGCAAGGCAGGTGGCATGGGACAAAGGGGTTTGCCTGACTTGGAGAAGTGGCAGCTCCCTGTTGCCTTACGAACTAATAAGAGTCACGATGGTACTGTGCCTGTCTGGGCCTTGGCAGCAGCTTAGGGCAGAAAGCACAGGTTAATTGGGGTTTTGAACAGAAACAACATTGCTTGGGGGCAGAGAGCTCAGTACTTCTTGGAAAATAATAATTACAAAGATAATGCCCTCCAAGGAGCTTTAGGGTTTGTTTGCCCCAGTGAGTGAAAGCAATCCATGTCACTGAAATGATGTGGCTTAACTTGACATTTATGACTTTAATGAGAGACTCAACAACATTATCCTGTTTCTTGATGTCCCTTGGCTAAGTTGCCCAGTGCATCTGGTTATTTTGCTAGCACTGACAATGGATGACAAACGTCTCTTTTTCTGCTGAGTATATTGATCAATTTCTAGCCCCTCATGCAAGAGTTCACTCCTGTGGAAGGCACACTGTGTCACACTCCAGAGTCACCCCTGCCAGGCCTGGGAGGAAGAGTCTGCCTTTTGGGGGTGCCCCTAGGTTGTACACCACTCAGAACCCAGGAGGAGCCATAGCCCCTTCTAAAGGTGATCCTCTCCGTAGGAGGCTTGTATCAAATGCCAGTCCCTGATTGGCTCTGGGAAGGGCAGTCCTTCTGGAGCTGTTTTTTAAAATGGTCCCTCCTGTTTTGGTTCAGGGTCGCCCGCCCCCTTTGTTGCTCCCCTAAGAGCTTGACTCACGCCGGTCTTTGCTGCACTGTAATGGTCTTCGATATTTCTTCTGCTCCGGGAGACCATTTTTCTGTATTTTTGGCCTTACCACAGAGCTTTAAAAAGCTGTAGATTTTTGAGCCTCATAAGAATTGTCCGGTCAATTACATGATGTCAAGTCAAGAATGTGTTTTGAATTGTGTGTACTGTGACATTATAAGGTGTTTCTTTAGTAGGGCTACTAGAAGAGATGAGTTGAAGTTTGAGAAGCCGATTTGCCAACAGCTGGGGATCCCCAAAAGTACAGCACAGCCCAGGTTTTATGTGGTGGTTACTGGACTTGCTGAGCTAATGTGCTGCAGGCTGTCCTGTTCTAAGAAGGACAAAAAGGGACGCTGGGTTATTTTAGGCAATCCCTGCTTCTCTCAGGCTGCTGCATTCCCAGCACATTGTACAGTTGATCTCAGAGCTACAAGTGAGAAAGGAGGAGAAATTTCATCCAGCCCATCCAGGGACTCATCCTACAAAGCCAGAGAGAAGGAAAGAGGGGAGCTGTTTTGGTGAGCTCAGGCTGCTGTAATAAAGTACCAGGGGGCTTAAACAAGTCACTTATTTCTTCTGGAGGCTGGGATCCAAGGTCAGGGTGTTGGCTTACTTGGTTCCTCCTGAGACTCTTTTCCTGGCTGTGTATGGCCACCTTCTCATTGCATCTTCACATGCGGAGGTGGTGGGCAGGAGCCAAAGAGGGAGCTTTCTGGTGTCTGTTCTTACAAGGCCTATTGTATCAGGACGCCATTGTATGAGGACTCTATTGTATCAGGACTCCATCCCGATGACTGCATTTAACCTTAATTCTTTCTTGTAGGCTCTAAGGCCGAACACAGTCACATTGCAAGTTAGGGAGGGCTTCTGCATATGAATTGGGGCAGGGAAGGAGAGACAACACATTCATTTCATAACAGGAGAGAAAGAGAAAGTGGGTTATAAGTCACTGCTTGGAAGCAACTAAATCTGTGGTTTAGGCCCCTCCAGATCTCTGAGTACTCATGACCCACATGGGTTTATTCATTCATTTATTTAGGCAGTGCCAGGTATCTAACCCAGGACCTTACATATGCGAGGCAAGTTTCCTACAAACTGCACTATGTCCCCAGCCTCATCCATATAGTTTATAATTAATTATATACAGTACTGTCTATGGCATCTCCTGCCTGATACTTGTAATTGTACTTAACACTACATGGTTTATATTCTCCAGACTGTAAGCTACCTAGAGACAGGAAAGTTGTCGTGCCTCGACAGCCTCTGATATGTACCGTGATCACATGCATAAAGTAGGCGTTAAGTACATGTTGGTTTATTGGTTGGCTTATCTAGAGTTTTACTAAGTATAAAAAGGAGTGAAAGGTTCACCAATATGTGGGCTTTGTCTCTTGGTTCCTGTGACTGGTGTATTGTTGTAATGGACCGTGTACCAAGCTAAACACTGATCTGTGGCGGTGATGCTCTGTGAAGAAAGTATCCCACAGTCTGGGTTTGGGTGATGCTACAGGTGATAGTAAAGGCTTCCAGTAACCTCATGGTCTGGAAGCCTGCTGAACTGCAATTTGCCTAGAGTTGTCCAAGCCTGCTTGGCCTTGAACTTGTTCATTCTTCATGTTACACTTTGGATCAATTTGGGTAGAATAAGAAAATAGTAACCACAGAGTAAGCAGCAGAAGTTTATTATAAAGAATTATCAAACTATAATAGGGAAGACAGTACAAAGATACAGACAGAACTCTACAGAGTCCCAGGGGCTAAGGGAGAGTGCCAAGGGAAGGACAAGCAAGGAAGGGATCCCTTTCCTAAGGCCAGGCTTCAGACTTCATTAGAACCATGGAGTGGAAGAGTTCGTAGGGTTTCCTTGGGCCAAAGCTGGTAAGAATTCCTGTGCAGCAGGAAGCAGCCTCGGGACTCAGGAGCCCCAAGATAGGAGAAGCCAATGCTACTCTGCCCCACTGTGAAGCCTGGAGCAATGTTGTTTCCCATGGCTTTCTTGATGTGGCCATGCACTCAGGCCACACCCTACCCTGTCCTCAGCAGGCTCCCGGTGGCCTGACTTTCCTATGAGCCTGCCAGTGTGGACACTGTACTGTCCAGAGCAGGCCCTGACCTGCCTGTGAGCCTGCTTTGAGATGGGACCCCACAGGGCCCAGAGGACCCTTCTGAACACTGTGCTGAGTGACCGACATTAACCTGGCTTCTGCTCACAATGGGCTGTGTCCCAAAAGGTAGCCACAACTTTGTGGTGAGACTGTGCACAAGACAAGACACTCTCAAGCCACTCAAGGCACTGTCCAACCCACTGCCCCAAGCCATTCCCAGTATTTCTCCACTTACCTTTTTGCATCTCCAAGTCCCTTTGAGCTCCTTCTCTACTTAAAATCCTGTCACTTTGTATTGGTTGGATTGAGCTCATTCTACCAGGGAGCCTCTCTCCCTACTGCACGAATTGGAAAAATCTGTCTTGTCACCTTCACCAAAGTCCTGCACTGATTTTTCTTCAACATTTTATCTTAGTTGGTTTGGGCTGCTGTAACAAAATGCTACAGAGTAGGTGGCTTATAACAGCACACAGTTATTTCTCACAGCTCTGGAAAGCAGAAGTTGGGGATCAAGATGTCGGCACATTCCGCATCTCCTGAGGCTACTTCCTGGTTCATAGCCATAGTTTTGTTGTGTCCACACATGGCAGAGAAAGGGCACTGGTGTCTCTTTTGTAAGAACACTTAGGTTTCAGCCACTAGAACAAATACCTGAGATAATGAACTTATAATAAGAAAACTGTGATTTGGGCTCAGTTTTGGAGGTCCCAGTCCATGATCAATGGCTCCATTTCTTTGGGCCTGTAGCAACTCAGCACATCATGGGAAGAACAGAGTAGAACTTCCTACCTCATGGCCAGGAAGCAAAAGAGGGAGGGCCAGGGTCACACAGTTCCCTTCAAGGCTACACTCCCAATGACCTAAAGACTTTCTATTCAGTTCCACCCCTCAAAGGCTTCACTATCACCCAATAGTGCAACCCTGGGATCAAACCCTTTAATAGATGGGGGAAATCAAAGATTGAAACTATAGCAGACACTGTTGGGAATGTCACTTTCATGACCTTATTGAATCACGACTGCCTTCCAAAGGCCCACTTCCTTTGGGAGTTAGACCTCAGCATATGAATTTTGGGATGACAAACATTAAGAAGTTTATTTTGGCTCACATTTTCACACGTTTTGGTTCGTGGTCAGCTGATTACATTACTGTGAGCCTGAGGTGAGGCAGAAACGTCTTGGTGGGAAGCTGTTCACTTCATGGCAACCCAGAAGCAGAGAGAGAGGAAGGGCCAGGGAAATGGGGCTGGGGAAAAGATGTAACTCCTCAGAGGCCTGAGGACCTGCTTCCTCCAACTGCACTCCACTCCTGGAAAGCCCATGCAGCTATGAACTCATCACGATCCAGTCACCTCTGAAGACCTCATCTCTGAACTTTACGGCCCTGGTGACCAAGTCCTCAACATATGAGCCTTTGGGGGACACTTCACACTTAAACCATAATAATAGTTTAATATTTTTTTCTGCGAGACTTCTTCTGTTCGAATGATTGTGAAGGGTCCAACTGTAGCTTTGTTTATGGGTGTTATAATATGGGCACACACAACTCCTGTGGGGCACAGAGGATGGATGACTAGCTAACAAACTCGTGGGGAGTTAGTGCCTGAAGTTCCTTCATTTATCTATATTATTATTATTATTATTATTATTATTATTATTATTGTTTTATTGCTTTTTGAGACAGGGTCCCGCTATGTACTTGAGACTGACCCGGGATTCACTATGTAGCCCAGGCTGGTCTCGAACTGACAGCGATCCTCCTGCCTGAGCCTCTTGAGTGCTGAGATTACAGGTGTGTGTCACCAAGCCCAGCTATCCTTTATTATTTTTAAATGAGTATTACTATTTCTAAAGCACATTTGCAAATATTCTGTTTTGCAATGAATGGTCAATACCAATATCAGCATGATGTGGCCTTATTCTTAAAATAAGATTCCCATGGTCCAGCGGGAAACAGATAGCAGACCAATATTTACAGATGCATGTGACAGATGGGTTTAGTATTCTTCTCTCCCTCAGGCCCCTTCTTCCACCTCTCCCTCATCCTTGTCCCTGTTCTACAAAGATTTTGTTAAATCTGTCCCCCAAATCCATATTTACTGCCTCCCTGTGCTTTTGTTACTTCCTGATAGTTTAGCTTCAACTAAACTAAATGGGCTTACCATAGATGAAAGCATTTCTGCCTCTAATTTTCCAACTCTGCCTGCTGCTACTATTCCAGCTGTATCTGTTGGGAACGCATCACTGTATCCCATCTCTGGTTTCCAAGTTGCTCACTCCAAGCATTTATTCCTCTAATTTCACAACATGGTAGAACATCAGGGCTGTGGCAGTAGTGTTGGGAAATTCACAGGAAGAAATATTTTTCAATATATTCTGCTATCCTGTAGACTCCCTTTTCTCTATACAGAACCAAATTCCTCTCCTTGTCTCTTAGTTCTTTTTTTTTGAGACAGGGTCTCACTATGTAGTTGAGACTGCCCTGAGCTCACTATGTAGCCCAGGCTGGTCTCGAACTCACAGCGATCCTCTTGCCTCAGCCTCCCGAGTGCTGGGATTACAGGCATGCGCCACTACACCCGGCCCTCTCCTTGTCTTTGTGGAGTGGTTCCACCCACAGGCACGAGCCGTTCTGGCTTCAAACACTTGGAAGACAAATGCCGTTCCCTTGTTTGGGGGTCTGTTAATAAATTTGTTCTCTTTGATCCATCCCAGTCTGTATAAAGTACTATAACATCTCCAAGGCAACAATCGAGAAAGTTTCATGGAGAATGTAGAATCTGAGTGAAAATTCATTAGCATTTTCTTCATAGACTTAAGTGCCTCTGGTCACATAAAGGATTGCATAACATAGCAGCAGCCAATCTAAACCCTCCACTCTCTAGACCTGCCCACCCTAGCTCCTGTTCTACTTTGAGTCAATGGAATAATTTCACTGAAATAGAAATAAATGTGAGAGCTGCGTTCTCTTCTGAGAGGATCCTAGCTTGTGCCAGAGTGAGGGTCTCAGAGCAGTCTGACCCTGCTCTTTCCTGATTCTGTGAGCTGCCTCTGCTACCTTCCCTGAAATCATATATTATGTGTGTTATGCTTATAGCACTTCATATACAGGGGTACCTCAAGTCATGAATTTAATTTGTTCTACAGTTTGGAAAAGATGGCCATGTTTGTGTTTGTGTGGGAAAGAGGACCATGGTCGCGTTTGTTATCTGAGGCAGAGAATTTGCAAACAAAAACCAAATTTTGCCAAGTGCTTCTGTTTGGGAGCTAAATTGTTTGCAAACAAAAGCATTCATGAACGGAGGCACCAGTGTATTAGTTATGTAAAATTTTTTTCATTGTTGTCAATAAAAGAACTTCTTAAACTTTACCTGAAGGATGAGTTAAACATTCTTTTGTTCTTGTAGAAGTCTTGTATCAATTACAAGAACAAGAGAACAACTCCTGCTCTGGGTGGTATAAATGCCAACAGATGTTTACTCTCTAAATTATTCTTTGTAAATCTTTTTCTAAAATGTGAGAATTATATCGCAAATCAAATAATAATGCAATCGAGCTGTCAGCATTTTATTTAGAATAGATTGGTTCCAGTCACATGGCAAAGCTCTTTTAATCTTGATTTGATTTCAGTACAAACCTTGCTACCATAGGCCACAGATTCTCTAAGGAGATCATTTGGGTCCATTCCACATTGTTTTAAAATAATTTTCATTTCAGAAGACGTTTATCTGAACTCATCCCGTAAGTCTTGGGGGAATCTTATCGAGACAAAGAAAGAGAAGGTATCAGGAATACTGTGAATCAGAGATCTTTGCTTCTGTATGCAACAAGGTTGGTGCCACTTGCAAATCTCTTTCCCATTTTCTGAATTAAATATTAATGTCCCAGTGCTCACACCTTTCCTATTCATTCAAGTACTATAGATGGTTGCTGTCAAGACAGTGGCTAGTGGCTCTGATGCCGATCATTTTGGATTTAAGGGATTTTTGCAAAATAAAAAAAAACCCACTATAGTATTTGAAGTCCGCCCCCCACATCAGTGTTGCTCAAAATGCCCACATCCAAGAACACATTTCCAAGGCAGACTCTCAGACAAGTTCTCCAGAAATGATGGACTTGGATTATGCAGCAGTGAGGTTGCCTGGGAACATATTCTTAGATCTGATGTAACCATGCTGGTGTCAGCATAAAGACAGTGGCTCTTGCTCCTCAGAAAATACCTTTGAACCATTTTCTGACTACAGGTTGACCTTAAAAGGCCCTCCTTGGGGTTTCCTTGACAATTCTCTGACAGAGTCAAGAGCTGAGGCTTACCCAGAACTGAATCTCATAGAATGTTCTAGGGGAGATCAAGCAATGAGAAATCTTATAAATGATTATTGAACTGAAATAGGAAGCATCCTAAATCTATTTTTTCCAACAAATACAAAAAAAAACCACCTATAAATATAAAAATTGTGCTGAAGGAAATGGTTTCAACCTCCCATATGCCACATCACACATCTTCTTTTCAAATTTTCCTCTGAGGCCCATTTCTTTTAGGAAATTATGCATCCAAAGGTATCAGTTAAGATATTTTTGGTTCTGAGAAACAAAAAGTGTACCTGCAATGAACTTACTAAAGGGAATTTATTGGCTCACAAACTGAGAAATTCCAGTTGTGAACTAAAGCTTTGAACAGGGCTGTAATCATTGTAATTTTCTCAGTCTGATCTCTCTAATGGTTTTGCTCTTGTGTTCGCTTTCCTCTTGGCAAAATGAATCCAGTAATTTCAGACTCAGATCTGCTTTTAGTCCCATGCAGAGCGAGTCTTTGTGTTCCAGAAGTCTCCATTTAACAATTTCTGGTCATTCTGACTGGATTGGCTTATCTAGGTCTATGGCCAGACCCCCAAGTGGAAATAGAACCCCCAAAGGCAAATGCGGGAAGTTGGGTTAAGAAGGGAGAAATACATTCTTCAAAGGCAGCGAGCGAGTGAAGAATATCAATTAACTCTTCCTATCTCAAATTCATTTAAAATTCGACCGTTCACTCCCTTTTAATGATTTCTGTGTTTCTCTTCACTACCAATGATATTTTCCTCTCCTTTTTGGTCTTCTGTTTTATTCTGCCCTGCATCTCAAACATAAGCATGAAGACCAGCATTAATTACATCAACAAACTAACACTTTTGTTTCCAACCTGAGGCATGATGATGATGATGATGATGGTGGTGATGATGATGATGATGATGAAGAAAATGTGAAAAGAGGAAAAATACTTGAAAATATTTCTCACTTCACACACAAAAATAGGCTTGGGATTTAATTCTGACCTTTATGAGATCATAGGGATAACTGCAGGCTGTAATCCACAGGTAGGAAAAATAAAATCATCTCTAGCCCAGGAGGGAGCTCCAAAAGCTGAACTGGATGAACTTCATAGAAATTCAGACAAAATATAACATTTTTCTTTAACTGCTGAGAGTCACTTGCAGAAACTCAGCCAATCACATCTTCCAAATCAGTCAAATAAATAAGATATCACTTCTTTTGCAAGTATATGAGATACTTAAAAAATACTTGACTAGATCACATTATTATTTAAAGTCATGAAATGCGAAGGTAGTTACTGTTCTATCAGTAAAACCTGAATCTTTTTTCTTTTGTTTTTGAGACAGGGTCTCTCTATGTAGTTGAGACTGACCTGGAACTCACTATGTAGCCCAGGCTGGTCTTGAACACACAGCGATCCTCCTGCCTCAGCCTCCGGAGTGCTGGAATTACAGGCGTGCGCCACCACGCCTGGCTAAAACCTTAATCTTATAGATTCAGTCTGTTACCAGTCATACAGCTCCCTTTGCTCGCAGCTCTTCAAACAAACCATGGGAGGCCACACGTTTGGTGAAAAGGAAAAAGGCTTTATTTGAAGCTAGCTCCAAAGAGATGGGGGGGGCTTATATTGCCACAAATCATTTCACTGTGTCCAGGTGTGCAAGGGCCTTTTATAGTAAGGAACAGAGATGGGAGGAATACAAGGAGACCACGGACAATCCCAGGCTTGCTTCATTCCTACTGGCCTTGTCCTGCTCTTTCCTTCCCTGTGAAAAGGAAAGTGGACTCTGGCCACCCGGAGTCAACATCTTCAAATGCTACCCAATCACCTGGGCTGAGGAAGGAGGGATGAAAGGAGGCCCTAAGGAGATTTGAAGAAACAGCTTGTCTCTAGAGGAAAAAATTCTAACTCTTAAAGTTCCATTTTGCCCTGCCGGTTACAAACTCACACATGGGGCATCAACAGATACACAGATGGGTTCTCCTACAGAACAAAGCAAGTAGCCGTGGTTTAAAGACTGGTTGCTAATGGCTGAGTCATTTCCTGTTCCACCATAGCATCACTCCACCACCAACAGCAACGTGAATCACCACACCAAGCCTCCGTTCTCCTCAACCTCCACCACCATGACTCAGATGTACCACCAACCACCAACGCCACGTCAACACCAACCTTTACCACCACCACCAACAACCAGCCCTGCCAACACCACCATCGTCAGCATCAACTATCACGGTCAAAATCATCACCACCGTTGCAACACTTACATGTATACACTTATTTTGCTTTTCAAAATACACTCACACACATGATCTCATCAGATCTTATCTGCGGGGTAAAGTTGGCCAATCTGGCATTGCTCTTCTCATTTTATCTGTAAACTAAATTCCAGAGAGGTGGGATGATTGTGTACACAGACACGAAAGCAGTGAGACTCAAGTCCGGAGTAGAGTCCAGAGCATCTGAGTCTAAAAAGTGTATTTCCCAGTGCACTCCACTCAGTGAAAACAAAGAATCTGTAACTTCTGATATAAACAACTTTGGTTCTGAATTCAGTGGAGTCAGAGTCTTTAAAATGAAATGGCCCTGTGGGCCTGGGATGCAGCTCAGTGGTGCTGCTGCCTACCTCACAAGCTCAAGGTCCTGAGTTCGATCCCTGGTACCAAAAACAAAAACAACAACAAAAAACACTGGCTCTTCAAAATTCAATGGTCCTTTGGTTCCATCTATCCCAACTTCTAAAGGTTCCAGGTGAGCAACCAGCCACTTAAACTTTATGTGACCTCTCTCTAGAAGTTGAATTTTAATCTAGAGCATTTCACTCCAATTCCGCCTTCTTTCCATGGCAAGAACCCACCTGTTTCCTTAGAGTATCCTGGGTTCCTCTGAGAACACTGGGTGCATACACCCTTCCCTATAGCACAGGGTTTGCTAGGGACAGGAAAGTATGGCTTCTGCTATCCCCACCCTAAAGTGTCAGAAAGTCTTGCAGAAATATAAACTACTGGTGTCTGGCCCCCTGCCCATCAGTCAGAAGTGCCCTTAGCATGCTGATGCTCTTTTAGCCCCATTCAAGGGCTCAACCCCTTTCTTCAGGTTCCAGGAAACCCAAAGCTACTACTCCTTCTTCAAAAGAGGTTGGAGCCTCCCATTGGAGATCTGCTGGCTTGACTTTCAAGGACTCCCCTGGGCTCCAGTTTGGGGCCCACTGTTTCCGCCCTTTGACACCAGGCTGGCCTGGATAGGCTGCAGGACAGCTGTATTGCTAATGATCAGTGAGGAATATTTGTCCACCTTGCTCTGGAGCCCTTTCTTTTTGAGCTCAAAGGTCAAATTGGAATAATAAATATCTTCCAAAGACTTATCGTTCTTCCTAAGGATGTTGCTGGCCAACTGGAAGAGGAAAATCACTCCAAAGAAGCCGATGATGGTGAGGATGTACCAGGCCGCACTCATCCCCTCCAGCAGCTGCAGAGCCCTGGTGGAGTTGGTGCTGTTCCTCTCTCCCAGGGGATCATTCAGGAGGGAGGTGGCACTTGTCTGGTTGGATGCTCCCAGTGGTATCTGCATGATAACTGAGAAATACAGAAGTCCAGATAAGACAAAGCATTTTGGGCTGAGAACCACATGGCCAAGCCAGTTCTCCTATCAGCGAGGGCCTTGTATCAGTGACAGCTGGGATGGCTGAAGTTAAGAGGCATTCTTTATGGAGTGAGCAAGAGCCTAACAAACTACATGTCAACAGATTTTTTGAAAATCTTGAGTTGAGCACACAAAGTTCTAGATTAGGAGATGAAGCACCATCAAACTGTCTGTCTCACCAAATATTCTACACATAGACAAAGTTTTCATTTGGAAAAAGTCACTGTCTAGACTATGTAGGAAAAATCCAGGACATAAAGAGTGATGAGTGAATTAGCCTAACCAGAAGTTTAAAACTAGCCAACCAAAGAAATTAATTTACATTTTCTTAAATTAAATGAAGTTAGTAAAATCACAGGTTAGGTGAGCTTTGCACAGGGCTTGGGGGAACCTCCAGAACCAGGAACAGCTCTCCCTACCACGTCTTCCTATAAAGCTACAATTGCTAAAGCAGTGTGATGTGGATACAAGGGCAAGAAGAACAGGGGAGTAGAGAAGACTCCATCCATAGGAGAGGAGCTGCACCAGAGTGGATGATAAAGGAGCTTTTCTGATTAGTAGGGAACAGGTGGGGTTATTCACTAAGTAGGATTGGTGCAGTGTAGCTTTGGATCCACATTTCTCACTGTTGCTGCCCAAACAGTCCAGATAAATCAAAGATATTAACATAAAAAGTGAAATAACTAAGTACTAGAATATAACTATGGCATTTTTTTTCTTTATTATCTTGAGTGGAATATCCTTTCTAAGCACAGTACAGAAATCCAGACGAAAGAATAAAAGAAAAAGTGAAATTCAAGTACATTTTACTTTTTTAAAGTTACTGCATGCCATAAAACCAAATGACAAAGGACAAACTGGAGAACTATTGCAATTTGTATGACTCATTTTCTTAACAACTGTCAGTTCTGTTGGAAAAAAAATGTCTAAAACCTCAGTAGAAAAATGTGCCAAGGATATAGACAAATAGATTATAGGGAGAAAATGGGAACATAAAAAACCTCCTCAACATCATGCCTAAGGAAAAAGCAAATTAAAAGTGGGATAGGATTCTGTAACCTATTAGGTTTGCAAACTTCTGATGTTTCAAAATACACGTTGTAGACACACCTGCTGGGTAATGAGGCCCTTGTATAATTACTGATCAAATGTAAATTCATACAAGCAATATGGAGTGCCAGTGCTCAAGACCTGTGGATATTACAAATGCTCTGATCTTCGGGCCAACAATTCTTACAATTTTTAGTAATTTGTCCTGAAGATGCTGTAGAACATGTCTGACACAATGAACAGACAGCCCTCCTTATTCATGGGTTCTGCATCCACGAACTCAAACAGCCATGGATCAAAAATATTCTGAAATGAAAAACCAATTCAGTACCAAACAGGTAGGTACAGACCTTTTTTTCCTTGTCATTATTCCCTAAACAGCACACTGTAACCACTATCTGCATGGCATTTACACCGTGTGAGGTATCATATGTAATATGGAGGTGATCTGAAGTGTATGGTACATTGCACCATTTGTATGAAGATACTGTGCCACTTTATATAAAGGATTTGAAGTGTCTGCCATTTTGGTATCTGTGTAGTCCCTGGAACCAATTCCCAGTGATCCCAAGTGATGAGAGTGTTAAGGTGAGACACTGCAGCCTCGCTTGTGCTGAATGATGCCTGGGGTCAATGTGAACATTAGAGAGTGGCTAAATACATTTTGGAGAGCTGGTTGTGGTGGTGTACACCTGTAACCCTGGTGCTCAGGACTGCTGTGAGTTCAAGGCCAACCTGGGATGTACAGTGAGTTCAACGCCAGACTGAACCACACAGCAAGATTCTGTCTCAAAAAACAAGAATAAATAAGTAAATTTTGGAATTTCCAAGCCAAGGAACAGAGTGCAGCCATAAAAAGATTTTTAGGTAGTAAATAATAATAGCTTAAAAATGAATATGTCATATGTAATAATGCATGTTAAAAAGGGGGGGTACATTTTATTTGCCTGTAGCTTATATATGTATATGTGTCAGTCAGCTTTCCTCTTCTGTAACAAATGCCTGAGATAAATCAACTTTTAAAGAAGGGAAGCTGCCCACCTCATTGCAGCTAGGAAGCAGAGAGAGAGAGGAAAGGTCTGGGGCCCCAATATCCTCTTCAAGGCCAAGGCCCCTAGTGACCTAATGTCTTCCCATTAGGCTCCACCTCTTAAAGGTTCCACTCCTGCCCAGCAGCACCACAGGCTGGAGGCCACGCCCCCAGTTACCTAATAGCCTCCCATTAGGCTCCACCTCTTAAAGGTTCCACCCTGGCCCAGGAGCACCACAGGCTAGAGGCCCAGCTTTTAACACAGCCTTTGCGTGGTTTTGCAAACCACGGCCACATGGAATATCTATGGGAGAATTCTCAAGAAATTGGACCCCGTGGTTACCTCTGGGGAAGAGAATGGGGGAAAGAAGATGTACTTTTCACTGTCTGCCTTTTGTACATTTTGCACCATGTGAACTTATTTTAAAAAAAGAAATTAATTTTAAAAGGCAAGATTACAAGTTGGTACTTTTCTGGTCTCCTTGGTGAAGTGCTCCTGGGAAGAGACACTGTGTGCTCTTGTCAGGTCTGAAGATAAAGATCTCAATTACTGTTTAATTCGAAACTGTGTTCTCTGCTTGGGGAGCCAGGGAAGAAAATGAAACAATGAAAACCAGAGAAGTAGTTCATGGTCCACCGAGACACTTCCCAGTTGAGCTTTACTGGTTCCAACCCCCATTTCCTGTTCCTTAGGACCACAGGTGTATTCGGTTTGTCACAGGCTGACTGAAGGCCTCCACAAATACCTCCTGCTTCATATTTGTTTGTTGCTAATTCATTTTTCTAATGCAGGACTCAGAGAGGTCAGTATTTTTCTATTACAGTTAATTGCCAGAATGAGTGAATAATCCTATTAGTTTTAGATGAAGGGAGAAGCTGTTTAAAAATAACTGTCCAAACCACATGTGACAAAGCCTAGGACAAATGAACAGATTTAATTACATAAATCATAAGTCACTCATAAAAAAACAATCTGACAATCATGAATTTTATAACAACACTGGTGGAATGGTTTGAGACCTTAAAGTCTTAAATAGGGGGAAATTTCAAGTCAATACAACAAGAAGACAATAAATTTTAATTATGATGACAGAATGTTCTGGAAATTGTTCTAGAATGATGTGATATATTCAGGTACAGAATAAAATATATTTGACTAAGAATACAGAACATTCAATTGTTTTAAAGCAGCACATTTTCCACCTTAAATAAACTTATTAATTATTACAATGCAGTGTATTTTCCTTTTTTTTTAAAGGTAAGAGATTGTATCTCAGTGCATAAACACATTCTATAGCAGAGATGCACCATGTGGCCATTGCTATTTAGAGATGGGGAATAAATAAGCAATCTAGGAGCTGCACTGGGGCAGAATACTCACCTTCCATGAGCTGGGCTTGTCCTTGACTCTCAGGCAAGTTCCAGCTTCTGCCCTGGGAGGGGAAGAGGAGAAAAGGAGGCCTCCCAGCCAAAGAGCACAGTCCCTTTGCAACTGGGCTGCTCAGAGCTTTCTGAGCACCCAAGAACCTCAAAGCAGAAACAAACAGAAATTTAGCAGACAGCAAGTGGGTGAATTTTCTCTCAGTCAGTTAATCAGAGGCTCCCAGTAGATGTGTCTTCTTTCTCTTGGCTCAGAAGGAAAAGCACTTCCTGGCACTGGCTTGTTTAAAAATGTCTAAATTGAAAGCATTTTTTAAAAACATGCTGGTATGAGGGAGTTTCTGGCCCTCCTACAGCCCACTGAGGCCTGCAGTGGCAGGGAGTCGTCCCTGAGACTGGCCGGCCAGCCGAGAGGTGCCTAGATGGCTCCTGAACTGCCCTGGTCTGTACCTGTTGCAGGTGTGGCTGGGGCCAGGTGTGGCAAAGGCCCACTGTCACAGGGCCAGGTCAAGAATCAACAGTCCATGGTCAAGAGTCAACAGCTTCCTCTCAGATAGTCTCCTGGGTGATGACATCCAGCAGGAGGGAGCAGGCCCACAGGATGCACCATGAAGCCTGACCCTGCTCTTCTTAGACCTGGATGAGGCCATGGGCTGTATTGGAATTGAGGCAGAATAGAGTGGTAAGCTGGAATTGGATTCTGAGGAAAACAGCCATGCTCCCAGGTGCATTTTCCCCAAACCCTTACTCTAAGTTCAAGCCCTGCCACACTTGTGAAGGATTTTAGTTTTAAGATGCAATTTGATTAAATTTTCATCATGGGGGGATGGATGATTAAATTATACAATAAACCATGTGATTTAGCAATTCCATTCCCTGCTATACATTTAGGAGAAATGAAAACATAAGTTCACACAGAAACTTTAGCATGAACCTTTATAGCAGCATTATTCACAATAGCCCCGTATGGGAAAAATACAAATGTCCATTAAGTGATGAACACATGAACAAAATGTGGCATGTTCATACAGTGGAATATTAGGCAGCAATAAAAAAGAATGATGTGTCTACACGTGGTCCGATGTGAATGACCCTGGGAATTTCATGTTTAGTAAGAGAAGCCAGTCACATAGGACCACATATGGTAGGATTTCACTTATATGAAACGTCAAGAGCAGGCGAATGGGTTTGCCTACCACAGAGTAGCGGTTGCCTACGGTATGGGCCTTAGAAGGGTGATAACTAAGGTGTGTGGGATATTGTTTTAGCGGTAATGAAACTTCTTAAACTGTGGCATTCTTTACATAACTCTGTACTAAAAGCCATTGAAGGTATACTTTGAATGGTAAATCTTACAGTATGTGAATTATTTTTCAATAAAGTTGCTAAAAGTTATAATACAGGTAAACCACGGAATACTATTAGCGTGGAAAAAGAATGAGGAAGCCATCTGAGTATGAGCGTACAAAAATCTCCAAGGCAGATTGTTAAATAAAGATAAAGGGCAATATTGCTATCTATGGAAAAAAATGGGGAGAAAAATATTTGAATAGGCAGAAAAGCTGCTGGAAGAAAGGCCAGGAAATTAAGAACAAGAGTTACTAGAGGAGGGGAGAACAAGTGGATGGGCTGGGTGAGAGGGGGAAGTCATTCCGTCCGCTTCAGGCCCAAGTCGTTTAGTTTTATGTGCGCGTGCGCGTGTGCGTGCATCTCTTTGATTGGCTGCCTCTCGAGGGGGAGGGCACATCCGGACACCTGCCCTGTAAGAGAGTCTTGGAGTCTGTTCTCTGCGACATCTTAGCCTTCAGCTAAAGCACCTGCTGGCGTGGGATGTGGGGAATGGTAAGACCCCAGAAATGGGCAGATAGAAGGAAAGACGGCTGTTTAGCAAACATTATGCTCCCCAGAGTCCAGTCTAACCCACGTTACAGAGAAGTTGCTTACATTGAGAAAGGACTCGATGGCAAGTGTTTCTGAGTTAATTTCTACCTCTTAGGATCCAGGGAAGTAGGGTTTAATGTTTCCTTTGAGGGAGAGGAACCCCCCAGGCGCAGGAAAGTAACTGACTTACTCCCACAGAGCTCGTAGATTCCAGAGGTGGATTTTCTGACACTAAAGTCGTTTTCCTTCCACCGAAGGTTCCTTTCAAGCCAGACCCAGAGTCTAAGGTCATGGATTCTTCCACTCGCTTGCCCTACACTGTGCCTGCTAAGGCATATCCAGGACCTTAAATGTCTCCCTGTTGGCCAACATTAGTCTGGGATGGTAAAAGTCAGGATAATGAATGATGATAAGGTGAGGATAAGGGGGAGGGCTTGCTGCTGGTTACGGCCTTTGCGTGCGTTTGTTGGGACAGCTTCACATTTGTGCTGTGCACTCTTTTTGTATGAATGTGTGCTTTGGTATAAACCTCTTCCTGTCGTTTCATTAGCACGAGAAGCCTCAACGGGCAGTGGGAAACAAAGCTTAAGGTTTCTATGGGAAAATGTACATGCTATTTTTAAACAAGATCCTGCATTAGTCATGGCTGTTTGCCACGTGGTAGCAGCGAATGAAGAGTGCCTGTCCCTGGGGGTGAGGGTGGTCAAGATCATGGTCAGAGCAGGGGCTGTGCAGCTCCCTGCCTGCTGATGCAGAGGGTGACACCAGCTGATGCTTACACAACACGGAACAGCCTGGATCCCCAGGAGGCCAAGCATTTCCTTCTGGCTTGTGTACGTCTCCATTGCCCTCTGGTTCAGTCCAGATGAATACTGACCTAAATGCAAACAAGCAAAGCCGCTCACCCAGAAAATACTTGTCCGAGCTACAGTTCTGGGAGAAAGAGCTCCATATACCCTAGTAGCTTTGATGTTGGAGACCTAATTAATCCTTTTAGAAGACCAGGTGGTTGTTGTTGTTTTTGTTTTGTTTTGTTTTTCTTGTCCAGCTGAAGAACGAGTCACATTAGAAGACTCTAAATTGGGAGCAGAGGCGGCAATAATGTGGACCTGACTCTCCAAAAGTTATTTCTTTTAAAGAAGAGAAACAGGTGCTTTTGAACACTGGCGTTTCAATAATAATGTCCATCAATAAATGCTCACAGCCACACTTGAAAGTCTCAGGAGGGTCCTCTGGAGAGGCAGAACTCACCACTGAGTTCTGATGCACAGAAAGAAAAAAAAAAAAAAAAAAAA